CAGACATTGCCAGCATGCATACATTTTATACATAAGCACCCATAGCAACATAGGTGTATTCATCAATATTCATCATTCAATCAATCATGAAAAATACATTCATCAACCATGGAAAAAAAATCCAAAAGCAAAATCATAGCAAAAACTGAATAAGCATTTTAAAAATAAGGAAATTAAAACAAATGTAATCTTAAGCGTTCACAAATTATCGCTTTAGACAGCACAATTGTCCATAATTATTATGCATGAATATTCATGGCAAAAATATTATTATATATAAAATGATGTTAAACAACATAAAAAAAAACGGTTATGGAAAATAACTCCACACAAACTATGATTTTTGATAGGACAACTCTATGCTTTTTGTATTCATACTAAAAACGAAATCAACATCTAATTTTGCTAAGTGACCCATTTTGTTAACATTACTTTGAACAATATTTCAATCACAAAAATATGACACCCCCAAATATTGATAAATACATGCCCATTGTTAATCAAGCCAGAGAGATAGGAAAATAATTCAGAAGTTTAAAGAGAAACAATATCATTTCTATTCTGTATAATTCACATTTTGTGAAAAAAAAATTTTTTTTTTTACAATTTTTGTAACACCTTTACCATATAATAAACATATTTATAATTTGACAGTAACATTATGCAAGGTATGAAATACCATCAAGTATTGGCAAGTAAAACAATTGATAAATGTTTTGGCTCTTTTGGTTAAAACGACCGAGTTTTGTTTTTTTGCTCTTTGGGTTAATTAAAATATGTAAAACCCAAGATTATCATAATTTATTGCAGAATACTTTGAGACTAACAAGCCAAAATGTCTAAATATAAAACTAAAACAGAATTTGAAAAAAAAAAAATCAAATTGTTTGATATTTCAAACAGATTTTGCTCGACTTGACAGAACAAAAGTTAATATTTGATTGCATTACTAACTTGCACACCAACTTAAATAAAACCAGTATGAGCCAAAAACAAAATCTTTGAATATAAACTTAACTTTGTTTCTCTTTACACAAAAATCTGGAAAAAAGTAAGCCATATAAAAACAAAGACTACAGATTCAAATAAGAAAACTAACTTACGTCGTATTTTTTTTTTTACTTCACACAAAACACCGTCCAGCAACTATTTAACTATGTTGCAACTAAAACAATTTCTAATAAAACTCATGTAATTAGAGACCAATTCCATTATTAAAATTCATTATCTATGTTAATTAAGCTAATCGGAAAACTAAATCTTGTAAAATTCTTAAATTGTAAAAAGTGATTCTAAAATTTTTGAATTTCCGACATGATTTTTTTAAGATAAATAATGGTCTATATTGCTACCATGTACAAACACATGAATTAGTCAAAACATGAAAATTGCCATAGCTCTTTGATTAAGATAAGACCTCATAATTATTGTCACCTCAGTGCAGTAACAATTTAACTCCTATAACATTATATAAGGAGTTATTATGTTACTGCGCTAAGATGAAGTTACTGCGCATTTTTTTTCCCCCACTTTATTTCTTATTTTTTGAAAAATCCTGGCCTTTGCTTTAAAACAAAACAAAATACAATGTCCAAAATCTATTCATTCTTATATTTCATTTAATATGTAAGCATAACATAACGTTGAATAAACAATATAATAATATCGTACTTTTATAAATATCAAAAACGTGCAAATTTAACACACAAAAAAATGCTTCAGATTATATAAAAGATTAAAATAAAAAAACTATTTACAAAATGGCACAATTAGTAAACCTCCTTTTTCCTCCATATATTTAGTTTGTTGTTGTTGTTTTGCATCAAAGATTACAGCCTCCTATACAAATACAGTCTTATATGCTATTTCTTTTAATATTCATATTCTTTTAATATTTCAAAGTTTTTTGATATGCATATAAAATTTGTTAGCATAAAAAAAAACATACACAAAAATAGACATAAAAACAAATAATATACAAACAAATATCTAAATACATGCCATGTTTAACATATTAATCTAAAATACTAAAACAAAATGTTAAAACAACAGTGACCTTAAGCTCCTTTCCACTTATTTGTTTGTTTGTTTGTTTAATTGGGTTTTACGTCACACCGACACAGTATAGGTCATATGGCGACGTTCAATAGCTCAGGTGCCCTTCCGTGCATTATTTCAGGCATGAACGGGCACCTGAGTAGAATCAACAACGTTCCGTAAGCTAGCTGGACCTTTCCACTTATAAAGATGATGATAATTACTGAAATTCTATGTATTTATCCCCATTAAAATACCATATTTATTATTTTCATTTCCAGTAAGTAATTTATTGATAAGCCTTTCATTACCAAAATATAACATCGGGATTCAATTATTGAAATTCTAACTTAAATTAAGTACAAATTTTTGTTTTGTTTTTTGTTTTGTTAGATTTCAATCCTTCTGGTTCCTATCAGAGCATAACTGTAGGCATGAGCAAGTACTCAACCCCCTCTCCCCCAACCCCCTGAAATTCTATCACCCTTAAGAAGTAAAATGCTAAAATACGTTAAATGCTTGGAAAGTGGAAAGGAACTATTTGCTACAACTAAATATGGAACACCCAATCCCCACCCCCTGAAAATTTCCATCACTCTTAAGAAGTAAAATGCTGTAATACAAGAAATGCGCAATATAAGTGGAAAGGAACTATTTGCTACAACTAATAAAAATGGCTACAACACAACATCAACATCTCTCTCTGGCTTGATTACAACATAAAATAATAATTGAGCCATGTCACGACAAAACCAACGTAATGCGTTTGAGACCAGCATGGATCCAGACCAGCCTGCGCATTTGTGCAGTCTGATCAGGATCCATGCTGTTCGCTATCAGTTTCTCTACTTGTAATAGAGTTTGTAAGCAAACAGCATGGATCCTGATCAGACTGCGCGGAAGCGCAGGCTGGTCTGGATCCATGCTGGTCGCAAACCCGTTATGTTGGTTTTGTCATGACAAGGCTCATATGTTTATAATTTGCTATATTCTTATAATATAACCAAATAATTAGACTCAAAAATATGTGCGCTTTACAAAATCAAGCATATTGCTTTGCTTAAAAGAAAATATCTTTAAAAGATATCAATTCATATTAATACAGTGTACAAATGTTTCAAAAGAAAGGATTGTGTTCACTTTTTGACAACTCTTGTTTCAAATTTACACAGTTTTAACAGAATATTTCACAAAGTAAAAATTGTGAGGAAGTGAAAAACTTTTAACAAGAAAAGTCCCCAATGCAGTCTATGTGAATAAATCTATATACAAGTCCCTTTAACGCATAAATCTATATGCAAGTCCCTTTAACGCATAAAGAATATACACAAGTCCCTTCAACGCATAAAGAATATACACAAGTCCCTTTAATGCATAAATCTATAGAAAAGTCCCTTTATCACATAAGAAAATATTCATAATCAATAACAAGTAAAGAATATTTATTTCTATGAACAAACAATCTATACACAATATTTTTCAAGAATATAAAAAAACATTCTCTTTAATCTTTTTTTCCAACCTATTGCAAAATATCGCTCAAAAATGGTAATTTTCCTTTGGAAAATTGGTCAAAAATGGTAACTTTTCTGCGAAAATACCATTTTGAAGTAACACACAAAAATAACAATAACAAAATTTATATATTTTTTTCGTTACACTGCACTATCAATTATTCTTAAATTGTTTTTCCAACCAATTGCAAAGTAGGGATCAAAAATGGTAATTTGCCTTCGGAAAAATGGTCAAAAATGGTAATTTTCCCTAATCAAATTTTCCGATGTAACAAATGTCCATAATTATAATAAAATTCATGTATTTGTCTTATTTATTACATTGCACTATAAATTAGTCCATGTATACTTCGACAAATGCAAACGTTAAACATGTCAAAGCAGGAAAAATCTGTTTTTAGCCTCTTTGATTAATGCAAAATTCAAACTTGATATTTATGGCATATACCGACACTCAAAATATCTAAGACATTTGTCAATAAATGAAAATCCTATAAGAAATGGTAAGTAAATCTAATCGCAAAACAAACTCGCAACTGTATGCTTCACCTAAAACTTTTGCAAAATCGTAAAGAAAAACATAATCCCATAAAAAAAAGACAATGTCTTTGACAATGTTTCATAATTATTCCAATGTGCAGACAGCTGTGAATGTACTTTCTCACAATGCCACTTTTTTTCTTCAAAGTTCGTCATTTAAAAAACTCTGTCTTCAAAATATACACCCCATCAAATCACTCTTCACAGTTCAACAATTAATGCTTATGAATTAACTTCTTGGCATAACAAAGAAATAATGAATCTTTCATACTCAAAAAAATAAGACTTCAGCTTCAATAATTTTCTTATAAGCATTTAAGCAGCATTCAGCTTCTATTTTTTGTTGGAAAAACAATTCTGTGTCATTTTAAACAAAATATTTCAGTAATTTTATCTTGGAAAAGCACATCCTATCACTGATAAGCATTCTTCAAAACAGCGTTGCAAGAGCTATTTATAGGGCGTAAGTGACTTTGTTTCTATAAATAGAAGATCGGGAACCAAATAGTCCGCTTTACTAATTTATAGAGAGTGGACCAGTAAATTAGAAGCATCGAGGGGTTTCCTTACTGATTATGTACTTTAACAATAGCAAAATTCATTTTCCACCTTTATCTTTTGATTTGATAATTATATGAAACGATTGATCTAAAAATAACATATTTAGCTTTTAGAAAAGTTGAAGGCTGCTTTAAGTTTATAACTGATCCTGCTAAGTACAGGTATATGTTGAATTCTTGCCCTGCCTTGACTTTCCATTGGTAATTTCATGTATGGCAGGCGACAAAAAAAACTATGTTATGTATGTAACCAGCAAAAAACAATAAAGTAATATTTACTAAATACAACAAAGAGTCATATATCCCTCCTCCCCACCCTCTTGCATAGTGACTTAACAAAATATGAAACCATCATGTAAGCTGTGACTTAAAACAAGCACCAAACTTAAAATCTAATAAGAGCGCTACATATGCAATCTAAAAATAGCACATATTCCTACAATCTAAAAATAACACTTTACTTACATATACTATACATATAGTAATAATAATTGATGGAATTTTGAAAAACAATCTCTAAAACTGTTCCTACAGTGTTATTATTGTTTGCTTTTACTAACCTGTCAATTGCATACTGATTATACAGTCAATGCACACAGCACATTAATTTTTCGATAACATTTAGGTCAATATCGTGAGATGTACGCAGTATGATGTATTTAAATTCAACTTATGTCTGCGAATTTATACTGAGCGTTAATGCGCATTAAGGTAAAAAAAAACATTTGTGATGTGTTGTGAGAGTATGAGACCTCATATGTCCATGTTTTTTTTCTTATTTATAATTTAAACATTATTTAAGGTATTTTGTAAAGGCTATTAAGCTAATTTAATTTTTAAAACATTAGTTATTCGATATTAATTCTTGTACATTACACGGGCAAGTCGAAGTGAGACCAAATACTTAAATTAGTACTATAATGTATTCTTAATTGAAAGGTAAATGAAATCAGACTATATATTAGCCGTGCAATGACAAAACCAACATAGAGCGTTTGCGACCAGCATCCGGGCAGTCTGATCAGGATCCATGCTGTTCGCTAACAAACCCTACTACAAGTAGAGAAACTGATAGCAAACAGCTTGTATTAACTTTCTGTCTTGAACAATGGTCCCAAAATCTCTTATCCAAATTAAACTACCCAACTTAGTAGCACGAAAAATGATTGACCATCAAGTAAAATATTGATCATGAAAATAAATATTGGCTATGGAAATAGAATATTGACCCTGAAAATATTGACCATGAAAAAAATATATTGACCATTTAAATAAGATATTGGCAAAGATTTGCTTTTTCACATAATACATTAGCACCAACATACATATCACACACTTGCAATAAAATGTATCCAAAAACCCACATTTTTGTAGATTTAACAGTAACAATTGTTAAATATTTGCATAAACTTAACATTAAGAAACAAACAGAATTTTACTACTTAAAAAAAAATACAATTTCAATACAGATTAAAAGCTGAAACAAAACTTTAAAAGATTTCCTTAAATGTGTGAAACATTAAAAATTATTTAAAATGTAAAAAAAATTTAAATTGTAGGCCGTTTATATTTTATTCTAACTGATTAGGCATTCTTCTTTAGAATTTTTCTTTGACCCCCTCTTTTTTGATCCCTTCTTTTTAGCCTTGCCTGAGTTTGAATCAACGCTATGACCACTTTCTTCATTTGGAGATATTTCCCCTGATAACCTTGACCCTGCCTCCGGTGAACTGTCGACAGACTTTGATACATTTGCCCCAGAATGCAATTCTTCATCTTTATCACCCCCTGTTGCCCCCTCAATAGGTATTACATTTATATCCCCATCCAACTTTGAAGATGAATTTTCCTCCAAATCAGTCACATTATCAGTGACTTCATCACCATTACCTCCTCCCCCCATTTTGCTTACTTCAGATTCAATCCCTTTATAAAAACTACTTAAATTCTCACCTCCCTCATTAACCTTTTCTACATCTTCATTGTCAAGCTGATTTGAATCATTTACTAAATCATCTTGTAACTTATCTACATCCTTACTCTGTTCACTATCTACTTCTGTCTTTGTATTACCTATACTTGTATCTACACATTCATCTGATTTATCAACAGAAGGAACATTTACTTCAGTTGAAACATCTGTGGTTTCTACATTATTGCCTACTTTACTGCCTTCTCCATCACTCTCATTTTTCTGAATATCTTTAGAATCATCCTTTACATTATCGGTAGCTACCGGCATTGAAATGAAATCAATTCCTGGTCCCATTTCTGCCCCTAGGTCTTCAGTTTCATCATCGCTATCGTCACTGTCAGAGTCTATATCTGAATGACCTTTGACACCAGAGTAGCAAATACCAAAACCAGATATGGGAGATGGCATGCCATCTATTGTAACCATACCTTCCAGGGGATTCTTCTCTTCCTCTATGGAAGTCAAAACAACATCAGCATCTGTATCTACTTTGTATGAAAAAAATTTCAAGTCACCACTTTTTTCAGATTGTAAATGAACTAACGGACTCAGAATTTCAACAGAGCCACCTGAAGACAACTTTCTAGGCATGACAGCAGATGCTGTATCAACCAACTCCTCAGAATAGTGCCTTTTGGGAATAGATATATCAATATTAGCTGAAGTGCAAGATTGCTGTCTTACCATAATTTTCTCTTCTTTTACCTCCTTATTGTACAAATCTACGGACTTTAGGACTATATCAGTGACATAATTTTTTGCAAATTCAATCATACTCTGCTCGTTACCAATCTGACCTGTAGGTAATGACATAAACACCTCATCATTGTGGAATAGAGAAGTACAGACTTCTGCCTTTGGGTCATTAACCTTGTGATCTACTTCAGACACAACATCTAACTTAGGTGATTTAGAACTATCGGTATTTCCAACTACAGGTTTATCTACATCTACTTTTGTTTCTAAATCAGCACCAGGTTTGACATCTACACTATCATTAGAAGTACAAATTTCCTCATTATCTAATCCAAATTTTACATTACCTCCTAAAGCTACATTTACTGATTCATCTACCTTAAATTCTTCTTTAAGTGGTTCAGTGGTTGGGATGAAAAATTTATCTTTATCCCTCATCAATACTTTTTCGTCTTCAAAATCTACATCAATATTCTCAATATCTGACCCATCATTTACCTGTTTTACTTCAGTCTCTTCAACAAATTCATCATCTGATTCACTGTGATATGTAACATCACTTTCAAGACTTATACCACTCGCACAATACACTAATTTTTTTAAACTACTCACACTCCCTGATTTTGGTTTTATGTCTAAGCTTTCAGATACAGATAATTTACCTTCTGTAGCCCCAATGTCTACAACCTCTTTCCCTTCTAAATCATTTCCCTTTTCCTCAATAAACTCTGATTCAGACAATTGACCCTCAGCATTTACATCTTTACTCTTATTCCCTTCTAATACAATATCTTCCTTTTCTTCACTTTCAACTTTCATTTCTACCTGATTATTTTGTGGGCTTTCTAAATCTGCTATCTCATTCCCTACCTCTTGCTCACCAGCACCCCTTACATCTACACACCCTGTAGGGGACACCTCACTCTTACTCTCATAAAAAACCTCATTCTCATCTGACTCAGAACATTTATCTTCTTTCCTATTATCTCTCACATCATCTTTTACAATTACATTTTCAGGTTTTGATTCTTCTGTAACAAAATCAACATTTCCTTCCACGGAAGTGTCTTTACCAGTAATAAGATTATCATTGTTTTCTGCATTATTGTTCACATCTTCTGTATCCTCTGTATTGTTAGACAGTTTCCCTTTATCAAGACCATCCACAACATGAATGTCTTCAGAGCCACTACCTTTTCTATTAACCTCAACATCAACATCCACTAAAGACGAACCCTTATTTACCTTATTCTCTACAACAGATTCAATATTATCAGTTTTCTTATTTACAGACTCAGCTTTCACTTCAGCATTACCTAAAGTTCCTTCTCCTGCTTTCTTAAGCAAGTCAGCAGCCTCTTCTGAAATAATGGAAGAACCCAGCTCTGGTATAGGCACATCAGACATGTTGGAACACTTTGTGAGGGAAAACTCGCCTTCGTCTGTAGTAACAATGACTAAACCACTTTCCTGAAATGTAGCACATTTTTAAAACTGTTACTATCCCAACTTTGAGCCTTTGGACAAGTCCTGCTTTCAATTTTAAAAGAGCACATTGTTAGTTTGGCTTTTTACTCTTTCCTCTTAATGACTTTTCATTTAACTTTTGAATATTATTTTTACTTATGATAGAAATAAAATATTGTTTGAGACTACTACAGGAGATTATAGTATTAAAATTCTAAAATTAAAATGAAAACAGGACAGCATCTGGTCAAATAGCACCAATGTTCAGAACTGTCTTAGATTTAAACTGATGGCATTGAAGTCAATATTGCTGCCGGTACTTTGGTTTGTTTGTTTGTTGTTCTGTTGGGTTTTTTTGCCCATTTTTTGTTTGTTTGTTTGGTCCTTTCTTTGCTGTTAATTTAATTTACCACCATTCCTGGATAGCTAACCAGTAATTATCATCTTCTGCACAAGTGACTAACTATTCATCCAACATGATATCCGAACCAGCAGAGGGACACAAATACTATTTTTGATACAATTATGTCCAAGATCAATTGTGAAGATGAAATTACGCATTACACTAGTACATCCGAAGACACTTGTGCGGCTCGAATCTACAGCTGTGAGAGGCAAGTGACTAGAAGTCAACGACCTTGACCACTTGACCAAAGCAAATACCCCCCCCCCCCCCACACACACACCTTTATTTCACTTTGTTAAAATTGCTTTTCATCACGGAACAGTCAACATCAATGAGCATGGTGATTTTTTTCTTTTCTATTTTTTTTTTTTTGGGGGGGGGGGGGGATTTAAATATCATTTCAATATCAAAATATACTTGACATTTCAAAATCAATCTGATAATCTTTGCAATTATGATCCTTTGAAAGAAAGTAATTTCATAGATTAGCATTCATATGTCCTGGAAAAGACTTTGCATAGTTCTTAATTTTTTTAAACAGTACAATCAATAAAAAAAAATTATGACTCGCCCTGTAAAATTTCACTTACCTTTAATAATTTATCTTTAATTTCTATTTGTTGCTTGATTCCATCAAATTCTAATTTTAAACTTTCATGATCCCTTTTTAAAAGGTCATATTCCTGAAAAGAGAAATACATTTTATAAAACTTTCTCTTCAAAATTCTTTTGGCTGTTTCGATATTATTTGCCAAATTCTTAACCCATAGGCTATCCTGCTGAATTTGTGAAATAGACTTTCTTTGCTTTAAATTTTAAGCTGCACGATTTTATTTTAGAGGGATACAAATCAGTTTCGATGTCAAACTTGAAATTTAAAACGGCCTTCAGCTTTTCTAAAGGTTAAATATGTTATTTCTAGATAAACCATTGCATATAATTGTCAAATCAAAAGAATTAGGATGGAAAATAAAATTTTCCATCCATAAAATACATAAACAATACGGAAACACCTTCATATCTCCAATCTATCCATCCCCTTTCTACATTTAAATTTGTAAAGCAAACAATTTCTTTCCCGGCTTTGACCTGTACATTATTTCACCATTTACATTTAGTTGGGCATAATGTCACAAAGTTCAACAAAAAACAAATTGAAATAGATTTAGGTAACAAAAACAAACAAACAAATAACATGTTTGAAATTAGAAAAGAACATCGCTGAACATTAACATTTCAAAATTGAACCTACTTCCTGTATAACCTGCAAATATATCAAATAGCGTAATAAATTACGAGAAAGGAAACCATTTTAAATAGCATTTGTCATTTGTTCTCAGACCTCTGCAAAAATACCATATTTTGTCACCTTAGTGCAATAACCGATTTAGTCCTATAAAATTTAGCAGGACTTAACCCATTACTGCACTAAGGGGATGAATTTTGTAAATATGGCACATATTCATTTTAATTCATGAATCTTTTTGTAAATATTTTAAACAAAAAAGATATATTATCATTTGAAATACATAAATTTCAAATTTTTCAAAGTTTACCTAAGCGGAGAGAAATTGTTGTAAGTCTTATTTTACTTGTTTTCCAATCCAGTCGTTTTTTGGTTGTGAAATGCAAATGTTACAAATAAGTATGATTTGTTTAATAAAATAAAGTTCAAACAATCATGTTTTTTTTTGCCCGCTGCAAAAATTATCAAAAACCATCCTTTGTGACTGCCAACAACAAAACATATCTCATTTTCAAGTCCATTTTTCCAGGAATACTTTTCTAATTTTGAAAAGTGACCCAAAACTGATAAGCTTTCCACTTAAATTGGCCACAAATACCACAAAAAATACATTTTTAATTTATTTCTAAGTAAATTTCTTAATTGTTAATTGTTTTCCATGTTAAGTGCCCCAGTTGATCTATGTAAGAAATTCAAATTTTATGTTTTTAGGCTTTTGGACCTCAGTGGAGTTCCTTTAAGGTGTTTCCCTCTAAGATTCTAATGCTAACTTACTCTACATTTATCTTTATACTCTCTCTGTACTTCTATCATGCCTTCTTCTTGTTCTTCTAACTGTTCTTTCAGCAGTTCTAATTGGAACACTTGACTTGTTTTTGTATTATCTAGTTGAGCATTTGTCACCATAGCCGCCTTGTACTTCTCCTCCAATTCTCGTAATTGATTCTACAAAATGTACATATGAGCCGCGTCACGACAAAACCAATGTAATGCGTTTGCGACCAGCATGGATCCAGACCAGCCTGCGCATCCACGCAGGCTGATCAGGATCCATGCTGTTCGTTTACCAACTCTATTACAAGTAGAGAAACTGATAGCGAATAGCATGGATCCTGATCAGACTGCAGGGATGCGCAGGCTGGTCGCAAACCCATTATGTTGGTTTTGTCATGATGTGGCTCATATATTATTTATTACATGCTTTTCGGTGGTTTTTAGAAATATAACAGTGAAATATAAAACTGATATTCTCACTATTTAAAACAGTGAAAATATCAATTTGATACTTTTTCTGTTTTGAATTTAAGCCTGTTATGTTGTTTCAGTGAAATACCAGTGTGCACAGTAGTGGAAACCAAGTTAATGACGTGACGTCATAAATGATGTCACATTGTATTATTGTATTGCATGCTTTTAATTTAGTATTAGGTCAAAATGTCTTTTTAAACTAATAAAAAGAAAATTTGTTTAGTTTATTGTTAGATTCACCACATGAACACCCAAAAGTTTATATTTCACTTGTGGCTGAGACATTCCTGAAATATACCTTTTAGTGCTCACTGGGTGAAATATATTCAGATCTTACACTGAACTAAACAAATATCCTCTTTATAAACAGTTCATGATAATATTCTTTTTTCTTTTTTTTTTGATGGATTTTACATCGCATCAACTCGTTATAGGTCATATGGCGATTTACAAGCTTAACTGGCAAGGAGCAGACCTAAGGTGCCCCTCAGTGCATTATTTCAGGCACAAACGGGCACCTGAGTAGAACAACCAATGTTCTGTAAGCTAGCTTGACAGCTTCCTCAAATAAAACAATCCTAAGGTCCTGTTGGGATTTGTAATTCATTTCCCAAAGATTCAATCTTTGTCATTATTTAACACACTTCTTTTGAATTCTAAATACAAACCAGCTTTGTTCATAAAACCAACAACAAAAACTAACCCTAAATAGCAACATTTTCTTCATTCAAAACAGAAGAAGTTGAATATATGGTAACGTCCGACAAAGAGCTAAATGGTGACTGTACGAACTAACCTTAAATTGTCGGACCTGATCCTTGGGATCCCTGCTGTCCTTCGAGGAAACATCGGACTCTGTAGATTCATTGCTGCCCCGTCTAGAGCCAGAAAAACTGGACACACTCTGTAATAGGCAATATACATGGGTAAAAATGGGAAATTTTAAAAAATCCTGAAAATCCTGAATTAGGCAGTTTTTCTATGATTTTATATAAGAAATATAAAGATTTCAGGAGATTGAAAATCCTTCCCTTCAGGAATATTATAATCCTGAAAACTTTTACCCGCAAATAAAGCAATAGGATACAAATAGGATACAAACTCATTATGATCCTTCCAGTTCTTAAAACTTAATATTCAAGGGTCCAAATATCCAAAAATAATCATGTACACAAAAATATCACATAAGTATTTCAAAAGTTGAATTAAAGATATACCATGCTCAATTTGACATTAGAAAATATTGATAATTGCTGCACAGTGTCTTTGTAAATATGAATTTAAAATAAACATGTTTTTTTTTTCACACAAAGCAGATATGATATGTTTAAAATTCCTCACACTATAGGTGGTCATCACAAAAAGAAACTAGCATTTTTTTTTAAAGAGAAAAAAACAACTTTACTTGACCTGTAATTGGAAACACAGCTTCCAATACATAGTTTATTCATTTCTTTTATTCAAATTAGATGTATTCAAAGAAGAATTTCATAGATTTCATTAAATTTCTGTCATTTAAATATTTTACTTAAGGATGAGCATTGTATATCTTTTACGAGAGCTTTTAAAAATAACTAACTAAATATAAAATAACTAATATTATTACTGATAGCTAAGTCTTATTAATTTTACTTTTCTTACAGAAAACCTATCTTTTTAAGCAGTGACATAAAACTTCAGCCTAATCAATCCAACAATTTCAATTATTGTATATATTAGTATTTGCTGAATAAAATTATAAATTAATGTTTGTTTTTAAACAAAGTACTGTAGTAGACATATATCTGAAATTATCTACACATGGTATATTAAACCATAAGCAACTTGAAAAAAAAAATACAAAAAATAACTCTTCTTTTCACCAAGAGTTCATTTTCTGGGCACATTCCAAGTACAGGAGTAATGGGTAGGTGTTCTATACAGATTTTCCATGGGTAACCGTAATTATGGCTGCAAGTGGGATTTCTGGGGTATAATAAATGAGTAAATGTTGGGATTCTGGGGAATAGTAAATATGTACCAGTATGTGCAAATAAAGCAAAATTTATGCATATATGGGGTAATGAAAAATAATCCAGTTTCTTTAATTAATCATAAATTTATAAATTTGGTTGTTCTGCTGATTTGTCAAAAGCTTATAAATCATCCAATAGACCTTTAAGGCAGTTAGTTTTTTATCTTTTTTTTTTTGGTCTGTTAAATTTATAACCATACCGCTTGACTTCAAGAATTCGATGTCTATATTGAATGGCATTACACATATTGCTTTCCATGAAATCCCAATGATCATAATAAGGCCAAATAAAGAAAAAAAATTCTGAAATCGGTTTCCGATCCCCTCAGAGGAAAGGTAGAAAATTCTTTAGATTTTATATATCAAATCCTTCTTTAATATATTATACTACTGATCTACAACTTTCAAAATGTTCTTAAACCAAAGTCACTTATTTCATTTAAGTACATGTAGGGGGCACAAGATGCCTGACAATTCAAGGCACAACTAACATGAAAAATTTGTTTAATTGCAAACTGTAAGGCAAATTAACATGAAAAATTTGTTTAATTGCAAACTGTAAGGCAAATTAACATGAAAAATTTGTTTAATTGCAAACTGTAAGGCAAATTAACATGAAAAATTTGTTTAATTGCAAACTGTAAGGCAAACTAACATAAAAATTTGTTTTTTGGCTGTGTGAGGAACAGCAAAAGACCCTGATGCCACTGCATGAGTGCAAGTTAAGCATATCTGCAGGCATCAAAAAATATTTTCAGAGTCACTTGTCCTGCAGGACTAGGAGTTTCTAAATCCAATGTGCAGGCAACATTTTTCTACTCCTCCTGCATCAAGTTCTCTTAATTTCTACTCGTAATTACAAGCGGACGAGTAAATGTTTGTTTGATCTATGGTCTGAAAACCATGAATTAAGCATCATTTCAATTGATTTTAATTAGAAAAATAGTGCTTTCAGGATAAGGAAAAATCTGATCTTCAAGCAAATGCCTGAAAACTTGTACTCATGAAAATGATGTTACATGCACATATCACATTGTCAGTCATGCACAATCAGGTCAACATTATACATGTACTTATTAAAGTCACAAAATACGCACGCAAACACGGACAAACAATACCACAATGACATCATTAATGAAGCTACACTGAGTTTACGCAGTATGCATCTAATTATATATCTGGTATTATATGTATCTATAATATGTCGCAATTTTTCCGATTCCGTTACCATCGTATTTACACGGCATTGACAACTGTTTAACTTCCATACAATTTAAGACCGCACTTTGTAACTTTCTTTGCATTATTCAGACTATTATTGTTTAACTAGTGGTTACTGACCTCATAGCAGCTGGCCGTAAATACTGTGCAAATGGTTACGTAAGCGATGTGGAAATATTGGCGAATTTCATTAATTTCATAAATTGACGAAAATCGCTAAACTTTCCACTAGCGTAAATATCAACCAACCTGTCATTAAATTCTACCCTTGTATTACTCACTAATATTTCCTTGCGCGAAATGACTGGAATTTTAAATTCGCAAACATTTCAACATGCGAAAATATCCACATATACAGTATCTGCCAAATCCTGTCACGCTTGGAAAAATTGAAATTCAATAAATTCATGAATAAACGAAATTTTACTTAACTTTACATGATTTTTAAATCATTTTTTTATTTTATCAAGATTTTATACCTACAGTAAAGACTGTCTTAGCGACCCCCTGTATATAGCGACGTTCTGTCTTTAGCGACCATAGTTAGGTGCGCCGAACAGTATTTACTATATAAATGGTCTGTATGTAGCGACTCCCTGTCTAGTCCGTACAACGACCATGATTTAGTCACCCGTTACGGTATTTGAGCCGTGAACAGCGACTTTTGCAAGGGGAGCTAGGCTTGAACAAGGCCTTCGGATCTTCAAAGAGATTTTGAAGTCGCCCAATTTTTATAATATCCGTCATACTTATTTACGCCGCTAGGTCTGTTAATAATTTGTTTATCTCTCAATTACAACCAATTACCGTTAATCCGCTAATTAAGAACGCGTGTCAACATCAACAAAGTTCAATACACGCCGCAAGGCAAGAGTTCACTATGTTTATCTTTCTCATTACGTATTCATGCGATTGACGAATCAGAACGCGCGTTGTATCTACGGCAGTTTGCATTGACCAATCGGCGACACGCTAATACACTGTGGCTGTTTGTTGACAATTACACAAAATGGCGACAGATTCAATCAATTTTCGCCGATAAAATGATTAAAGACACCTGCATATACATAATTGCTGCGGTGTTTTGGTGAGTACAGATAAACAATGCCAAACGTCTTAAAGGTGTGGTTATGTTTGAAACCTCGATTGTTTTGTTTTTTTCGGAACACTTATCTGGATATTTGTATCTAATGTTTTATTAATACATTGAACTTCGTAAAGTAAACAGGCTGATTATACGAAATTAAATGTTTCTACAGTAACATATCATTAGTAAAATTGAAATTAAACATTTTTTACAAACAGATTTATCAATATAAATTACATTTTAATGAATATGTAACTTTTAAATACTAATGTTATGGTGTAATTTTATAATCTTAACCAATTATACATGCAATTTTAATACTCTCTTGTTTTTTATAAATGATATTTGATATGATTAATATCAATAAAAATATAATTAAACCCTTACTATGGTACTAATCTGCTTTTCAACAAAATATTGGTATGATATGTTCATATATCCGAATTATGTAGAGACTGTCCACAGTGACTCCCTGTCTATAATGACCTTTTTTCTTTTCTCCCATCGAAGGTCACTGTAAACAGTCTTTACTGTATATCAAACAAACATGCAGAGTGACACCTGACAATGGCGGCTTTAAACTAACGGTATTTCAGACAAAAAACCACAAAATACCAACAACATTATGTGAGATAGACAAAAAAATACCAAAAAGGCTTTTCAGGCAAAATTGAGGTTTAAAAGGATATTATTTTATCTGCAAAACCACATATATCTTAAGGTTCCATGTGAAACCTACCTACCTTGTAATAATGGATCTGCAAGTTTCAAACCAAATAACAAAATAATAAGCTTAGAAATTCTATACACATAGTTATATGTACAAGCACATTTCAATTTTGTTAATTTTGTTATTTTGGTTGGGTTTTTTGAGTCGCACCAACACTGTCAAGGTCATAGGTTGACCTTTCTTTGGAGTTAGACCTCAGACACCTGAGTTGAACCACTGATGTTCCATAAGCTAGCTGGATAGCTTTCTCACATGAAAGAATCCAAAGTCCCTGAAGGGATTTGAACATACAGCGCTGCGGTGACAGGCAAGTGGTCAACCACCTTAACCACTCGGTCACGGACCCCCCCTCCCCCTCCCCCAGTTACATGTATATTAGTTAGAAAATTCTATACTTTTTCCATGACTCTGTTATTTATCATATCTAAGATAAAATTCTTAATAATGCAAACATTTTATAAAAATCAAAACTAGATACATGTATATAAACATGTACTACATTGTCACTTTGACTTTGTACATACATATACCTGAATTATACATACATTGTACTATTAAGTTAGCTTACAACTCAACATACCTACTGAACAAAGTACCTCAGTTTTATTTTGTGGTGCATTGCAGCACAATTTGTTATCAACAAGTAATTCACTTAGATATTAACTTATTCTCAACATAACATAATAAATACACTGCCTCTTCCTCTGCCAATAACTACTTGTTACATTCCAATTCAGAATGATAAGTTCTGTTAATCATATACGTTTAGATTAAAGGCTATTTCATAGCACTATTTCTGTATTATGTTTAAAGGAACTCCACTGAGGTTCAAAAGTCTACAAACATAAAATTTGAACTTCTTACATAGATCAGTTGGGAAACTTAAAACAAATTATCAGGTCATTTGCCATTTCCCAGTATAATTTTCTAATTGTGAAAAATGACCCTAAAATTGAAATGCACTGCAAATGCAATCCCTTTAAAAATTAATTATCAACTACTTTTTTTCAACGTTCCTTGGATAATTTTATATCAAACCCATAGTTATTTATGGTGATACATGACTGGCTATATGACCATATATAAACGGTTGTTTGCAATATAACCTGAGCTGCTATTTTTAAACAACCTTTTATATTGGGCCATATACAACGTAACCTGTCAAATAATTATTCATCCCCCAACCAAGACTTGACATTGCTTTTTGGTGACACTAGCCCTTAACCTCTTGATTTGTGTCGATTTTACATAGCTTAAGATACTGAGTCTAAGTTTATATAGACTAATTGGTAGTTAATTACAAACATTTCATACCTTTAATGTTATATATTATATAATTATACTAATTGGAAGTTTATATAGTTTCATATAACCAATACATAGGTATATTTAACCAATATGAGTTAATATGTACTAACTGGTAGATAAATATGGTGTACTACTACCTAGCAAGTTATAGTATATATTTATAATAATAAAAGGTAAAGAATAAACAAATATTAAATATTACCTTAGCGTCTGAACCTTGTGACTGTGCCTTTTGTTTATCCTCCTCCTGAAAAAAGCACAAATCATTTGTATTGTAATGTATTGAGTAATGTATTGCATGGGTATTATAAAGTATTTTGTATTGGGTATTGTAAAGTAATTGGTAATGTACTGTATTGAAAATTGAATAGTAATAAAATGTTTGATATTATATTGTATTAGGTGTTATTGTGTGTTGTATTTGGTACTGTATTGGGTATTATAATTGGTTTTATACTGGGTATTGCATCGGGTATTATAATTGGTATTGCATTGATTATTATAATTGGTATTGTACTGGGTATTGCATTGGGTATTATAATTGGTATTGTACTGAGTATTGCATTGGGTATTATAATTGGTATTATACTGGGTATTGCATCGGGTATTATAATTGGTATTGCATTGATTATTATAATTGGTATTGTACTGGGTATTGCATTGGGTATTATAATTGGTATTGTACTGAGTATTGCATTGGGTATTATAATTGGTATTGTACTGGGTATTGCATCGGGTATTATAATTGGTATTGTACTGGGTATTGTATTGGGTATTATAATTGGTATTATACTGGGTATTGCATCGGGTATTATAATTGGTATTGCATTGATTATTATAATTGGTATTGTACTGGGTATTGCATTGGGTATTATAATTGGTATTTTACTGAGTATTGCATTGGGTATTATAATTGGTATTGTACTGGGTATTGCATTGATTATTATAATTGGTATTGCATTGGGTATTATAATTGGTATTGTACTGGGTATTGTATTGGGTATTATAATTGGTATTATACTGGGTATTGCATCGGGTATTATAATTGGTATTGCATTGATTATTATAATTGGTATTGTACTGGGTATTGCATTGGGTATTATAATTGGTATTGTACTGAGTATTGCATTGGGTATTATAATTGGTATTGTACTGGGTATTGTATTGGGTATTATAATTGGTATTATACTTGGTATTGCATTGGGTATTATAATTGGTATAATTGGTATTGTACTGGGTATTGCATTGGGTATTATAATTGGTATTGTACTGGGTATTGCATTGGGTATTATAATTGGTATTGTACTGGGTATTGCATTGGGTATTATAATTGGTATTGTACTAGGTATTGCATTGGGTATTATAATTGGTAGTGTACTGAGTATTGCATTGGGTATTATAATTGGTAGTGTACTGAGTATTGCATTGGGTATTATAATTGGTAGTGTACTGTGTATTGCATTGGGTATTATAATTGGTATTGTAATAAGTATTGTTTGGGCATCTAATCATAACTGGTATTGTAGTGAGTATTGCATTAGGTATTATAATTGGTACTGTACTTGGTATTGTATTGTATTTGGTATTGTGATGGACATTTATTGTATCTTGTATCATAATTAGTATTGTTCTGGCTATTGTCATTGGTATTAGAATGGGTATTGTATTGTGTTAGGTATTGCATTCAAAATAGTATTTGGTCGTTTTCATATGGTATATGGGCCTACAAAAGCCAAGACGAAAGTTTTAAGGTTATGTTGACTCTATGACAGATAACTTTCAACTTCTTTAGATATAAATGTCCGCCAATGTTGGTCATTTTCCAATGTGTGTGTTTTTTTTAAACTAAATTTAAACCTGTACTTATTAATTTGCAATAGAATACAATATTGGAGAATATATCTTACCTCCTTTTGTTGTCTCTCTATTTCTTTAAGTCGTATTTCTCTTGCTTCTGCCCGAGCTTGCCGCCGTGCTTGTATTCTTTCTTCAGCCTGAAAAAGTAAAACAATGATCTTCAGTAAACAGAATAGAGATCATTTCACCTTGTACAAGTAAGCAAGCATATTGATAACACCAAAAAAAAGAAAATTCTATTTCTAGAGTCAATGACCTTCCACCCAATTGACTTACAAACTAAACCCAAATTACAAAATATACCTAGTATGTAAGATATTATTCGATAAATGAATATGCAATAAAAAATGGGATTATAAGTGGAACTAAAAGAAAGACACAGTGACACTGATGGAAGGACAAATTTAATATCAAAATAATGCTCCACCCAAACATTTTTTCCCCAAACCTTGACCTTAAGGTATATGAAAAATATGACAAATATGGCCTGGCCCAGCAATTCTGACTTTGAAACTGTCAATAATCATTGTTAATCTTAAGACATTAAATATCAAAGCATTTCAACAGTGTAGCTTGCAGCACATTTTGCTTAAAGTGAAAGAATAATTTTGTAGGCAGGCAGGACTACTGTTGGTGTAGCTCACAGGTCTTTTAGCATCATAACTACCAATTTCTAAGAATTAACCCTTAACCTGCGGACTTTTATGTAATGGATTTGCCCTGCTTTGAATTTTGAACAATCCATTAGTAGATTTAGGGATTTCAGGTATTCAAAGTGTTTTAATATCAAAATACAAAATTGAGCCACAGAAAGTATAGAGCCTGGTAAGACTACAAGTTAGTGCACATTGACCTGGCTCCTGGCTGTATATTGATTGAAAGTTGCCATCGACTTTCGGTTCCAGCAGGTTAAAGCATTAAAGTATTCATAATTCTTGTAAAATTACAAATATTATATATTTTCATAATTCTTGTAAAGTTATAGATATGATACTGCATATTATAATTTCATAATTCTTGTAAAGTTATAGATATGATACTGCATATTATAATTTCATAATTCTTGTAAAATTACAGATATGATATTTTCATTTTATAGTTTCAAAATTCTTGTAAAATTAAGGATATGATACTGCATATTAAAATTTGATAATTCTTGTAAAATTACAGATATAAAATTGCATATTATTCTTGTAAAATTACCTATATGATACTGCATATTAAAATTTCATAATTCTTGTAAAATTATAGATATGATCTTGCATATTATAATTTCATATTTCTTGAATGATTTTGCATATTATAATTTCATATTTCTTGAATGATTTTGCATATTATAATTCCATATTTCTTAAATGATCTTGCATAATAAAACTTCATATTCCTTTGTAAAATTAAGGTTATAATCTTGCATGTTATAATAAGTTACAACATATCTATGTCAAGTTTGCTGTTTAAAATGAAAAACAAATCCTGTATCTTATCACACATCCTGTTCACTTACTGAGCCTTGGGCAAATAAAATACAAATGTATATATTCTACATAAGAATATTTAAACTAAGTATATTTAAGTAACAAAAAAGTTGATTTTCTATAAATTTAGCTTTGAACCTATGTACTTACTGAATTGCAGATTTGATTTTTTTTTTCAAACAAGCCACATATAAAGTGAAATATGAAGTTTCTAAAAAATAATTCGCTGCAAATTTTAATGGTTTTATAATGATCCAAAATTTGCTACATGTAATTGACAGAACCTGATCAATTTTTTTTAAATGAATAAACCATAAACTTAACTTGGTATATTTATAAATGCCTTGATTTGAAAGAGTTGATTTTTTTTACAGTTATTGCTGTTTTTTGCTGATGTTTGTTTTATAAAATAGAGTGCAATTTCTTTCAAACCATAAAAACAAAAGCTCACAGATTAGACCATCTGTTGGAGACTCAGCATATCGTCACCTCAGAGCAAGAACTCAATAACTACTATTAAATAAAGAAGCACTTATTACGTTATTGCACTAAGGTGACGATATACTCATACATTTATTTTATGTGTATTGAGTCTGCAAAACTCATTATATACATATACACAAATATATCTAATGCATCATAAAATACAGCCTCGCAAACTCTGAAGCACTTTGACTATCAGTAGAAAACTACCAACTCTGTTCAAACACTACTTCTTTTAAAATTTAACTCTGAATTACATGCATAATACAATATAATATTACGGGCTCAGAAAATCTGTAGCTGATTTTGACCAAAGCCGAATTACCAATTAGAAAAAAACTACCAACATTGTTCAAACACTACTTCTTTAAAAATTTTGGGACTAATTTTAAACTCAATTACATGCATCATACAATATTATACCCCAGTCAAATTACCATAGAAGAAAACTACCAAGACTGTTCAAACACTACTTTTGTTAAAAAGTATGGGACTTATATTTTTATTTTATTTCTCACTCATTTACAGTTTATAGAACATATAATGTAATTGACTTGCCCATCTCTAAAACAGTCCATTATCATAGTTTAAGGGACTTCAGAATCAAAATACTAAACTGAGAGGTAAACAATATACAGCCTTGTCAGAGAACCAAGATGTGCTGTAACTAAATCTAAACCAAGTATCTTCATTTTTACATTGAATAAATTACGATTGTCAAATACTTAAAAATTTCTTAGGAGCACCTTGTTAAGCAAAGGACAAATGATATTAAGAAAAACATTTAGTCTTTTAAATGCCAGAGATGCTAAATATACACCTTAACAAAAAAGATACTAAAAGTTATAAATATACACCCAGATAGAGAGAATATCTACGCAAAGCTATAAATACATACTAGAGCGAACACTGATGCAATCTCACAAAAATCATCAGAGGAAAAAGACAATGTAGACTTTTTTTGTAGTTATGTAAAAATGGTGCTTTCCTGTATTTATAACCGGGTGTAGACTGGTTTCCTGCTTGTGAATGAAGTTCCAGCTTTGTTACAGTAACCAGTGACAGTCTGACCTCAGACCTCTTGAGGTCACAACCTTGACCTTTACTTACAACCCCTTGTATAATACATTATTCTGGGGAGGGGGGGGGAGGTCAGGACAAATTTTCCAAAAGTGCCGAGGATAAACCCCTGTTAGAGTCTGGTCATACTTCACAGATTAGCTATAAAATATAACCGGTGGCATCAAATCAACTCATTCTCGTCCCGATTGTTTATTCTCGTCCCGACTGTTTTCTATTTATAACTAAAATGATTAACGAGGAAACGGCTGCCAATCCTTAGATACAACAAAAATATAAATAAATACAAACATAGATTAATCTGTTTAGATATTTCTCACACAATTGTATTCATTATATATATTCAATATATATGTTACTTCTTGTTTCAGTTTCATTGAGGAAATAAACTATATTATCCATGCACGGCAAATGTCACACATCAAGGGATGTTGGGTCATTAATATTTCTTTTTAAATGATATTCCAAGTGGTTTTTTTTCCAAGTTAAAAGTGTGTTAAATTTGAATAACCCTTTTCATACAGCATCAATGGGAAGTTAAAATGATAAAAACATAAAAGTGTATTTAAATTCAAGGAAATATAATGCTTTTATATTACTATTTAAATTATATAGCAGTCTGTTAGGACATGATCGTGAGTGAACAAGGCATTGTGTACTATTTTGTTTCCTTTATTCGTACTGAATGTTAACACACATAGGAAGTGATGTTATATTAATAACATAAACAAATATTAATAACATAAACAAATATTTCATGCGAAAGCAACTTTACGCTGACGTCAACCCAAATCTTTGGGGTTTTTTTTGGTTGGGTTTCACATCGCACCAACACAGTTGATGTCATATGGTGACATTCCACATTTACTGATGGAGAAAGAATTTAAGTGCTCTTCTGTACATTATTTCAAGCACAAACGGGCAACCTAAGAAGAACCACCGACATTCTGTAAGCTAGCTGGATAGCTTTTTACATGAAGATTCTGAAGACGCTGGGGCAGCTCGAACCTACAGCAGTGAGAGGCAAGTGGTTTGAAGTCAAGGACCTTATCCATTCGGCAACAGGCACCCCCACCCCAAATCTGTAACACAGTCAATGACAAACAAGCATCAAGTAGATAAATTAACAGAAAGATCAAGCAGTCTGGTTCCACAAATTTTCGCAACTTGTTAGATACATAATTATCACATCAATTCCTTATGAAGTTTAACTATTTAAGATCAACTATTTTTTTACTTTGTGACTCAATCTGACTATTAATTACATCCATGGATCCACCAAACTGGTATTATTTTTTTCTGTTAAAGAAATCAGATACTATGATTGCGGGAATGTTTGTCTCTGTCAAAACACCATCCTTATGAAAAGTAAGCTTTCACAAAAGTTTCAAGGAATACAGTAATTGTTGAAATTCAGACACTGACTAGATAAGGTTCAAGGACATATCTCAATAGATTATACAACCCACATGCTTACATCTTACATCTCAAGACTTCTCAAGGTCAATGCCACATTAATTCATAAATGTATACTGCAGACGAAAAAAAAAAAAAATTGGCATACTGCTAAACACTTATTCAAGGTTTAACATGCATGCATTAATCATACTACTTGTTAACAAAGGAATAGAGTAAAACACTCAACCAGCCTCTGAAATGATTTATAATTGAGCCGCGTCACGACAAAACTAGCATAATGCGTTTGCGACCAGCATGGATCCAGACCAGCCTGTTAATCTGCGCAGTCTGATCAGGATCCATGCTGTTCGCTATTAGTTTCTCTCCTTGTAATAGGGTTGGTAAGCGAACAGCATGGATCCTGATCAGACTGCGCAGAGGCGCAGGCTGGTCAGGATCCATGCTGGTCGCAAACCCATTATGTTGGTTTTCTCATGGCACCGCTCATATACTCTTTCTGCAAATAAATTAACAGTACATTTATCATTATCTGTTATTATCATCATTATTGTTATCATTATCATTATAATTATCATTATTATTATTTTAAATAAAGCAAACTTCCTTTTTAGAAAAATAATAATACATAATAACAAGATATGTTTGTAAAACATGTATGCCCCCTATCAGCAGCCAATTAG